TACAATACATTTTTTTTTTGTCAATGCAAGCTTATGCGAATTGAAGTGGATTAAAATGCAATATTTGTATAAAAACTTAATCATTTAATTTCATAGAAATATAGAATGGTTTTACGTTAAAATTAGGTTGGTACGGACTGACTTAAGTCATTATACAAGTTGTTCGTACACTTTACTTTAATATTTCATTTTTTTTTTTTATTACCTTTAAAAATTAAATTATAAAAATTCAAATACAATAGACACATTATGTACCTATTTAAAAAAAAAAAAAATTAAATTTGAATTCAGAATATTTTTCATTCCAACGAACCTTATTATTTGATAGCGTAATAATATAAATTAACATTTTTAATATTTTACCTAAACTTTTTGTAAAATGGTTGAAATTCAAAAGTTTCAATGAAAATTATTATTATTAACCTCTAATATTATTCGTCTTTATGCAATCAATCAAGTTATTCTTATGCAGGTATATACTACTATATTGAAATAATATAAATCAGGGGTCTCCAAACTTTTTTACTCAAGCGCCACAAAAAAAAATCAAATGCTCTTAGCGGGCCAAAAGTTTATTAACACATATAATTTTTAATTTTATGATAATATAGGTACCTATATAAATAATATGTTTACTTTATATTTTTGTATAAAATATTGTTTGCTTTACAATATACTTAAATACAAATAAATAGGTATAAATATAATCTAATATAAATACATTTTTGAAATATTTTTTTTATCTATATTTACCTATGCGTCCTATGCGGGCCACGGGCCGGTTAAAACTTGTTCGCGGGCCGTAGTTTGGAGATCCCTGATATAAATGTTTGATTGATTTTTTTCAAAGCATAATATTGTTATTACATATAGTATAAGTTTGAAAATCGTATACAAATGACATACAATCATTAATATAAAGCTAAACTTATTAAGCTTTATTATAATTTTAACGGGACGTGTGATTATTGAAATATGAATTAATAATAATAATAATAATAATAATAGTATGACAGATTGGAATTCAAGAAAATAATTAAGTACAGGCACTCGTATCGGTATTATATTTGGAATTTACTAAACGGACATCAAACACGAAAACGGTTCAAACGACAGAAAATCAAATAAATTTAACTTATTTTCGACTCTTTTCTCGTGTGGTGGTTGTTGTGCTATATATGTATATCATTATATGCGGCATACAGTTTCGGAATAACAATAATAATAACAACAAAAACAACGATACGACGCGTTTCGGGACGGAGATAGATATAATGGAATGAGAGAGAGAGTGTGAGTGAGAGGCGAATGGCAGAGATGTTGCCGTCACCATAATGTCCCGGGGACTGGTAATAATAATGGTGTGGTGTCGTTTGGGGGGGGGGGGGGGTGATCGGGCTGAGAGAAGGGTTTGAGGGTGAAGTTTTCGTCGCGCGTGCGATGAATTCCGATCGGACACTTCGTTATATTGTGTAATGTAATGTCTTGCTTCTAAAATGTTAGCTCCACCGTTAGCCGGGTGGGCCGCCGATTTACGTCGCACATGTCTGGGGTTTGGGATGGGTGGGGGAGAGTTGACCTCCGTATACGAAAAGAGACGTTTAAAACTTTTTTTTTTTTTGAAACAACACCTCTCCCTTCTCGCACCGACGATTTCGATTCATAATATTATTATGATGTAGGTTTATTAGAAACAGCCCATCGCGGATGGACGCGTAATATAGCACGCATCGATACGCGACTTGGCTCAAAATAAGTATCCCACGCGCGCAATCACTCAATATAATATACCTGATACATGCGTTATACTATCCGAGTAAAGTTCAGCCTTTTGTGTACACTCTGGCCGCGTCCTAAAGAAACTTCACATCGTATTGATCGATGTCCACACTTATTTCGTCCTCGGCAATATTCGCAGTGTGCGTGTGTGCGCTTTTGTGCGAGCTTGATTTTTTATTTATTTTTTATACGAGTTTTTATCCTTTTACAGGTAAACTCGTTTTCTGGAAAAATCTAATCGTTTTTGGAAATTTGTTTTTTTTTTTACACACACCTAATGAGAATTTGTTACAAAAAAAGTAGACAGGTACTTGGAAAAGATTGCTTTTGAAGTTGCTTACTTTTACAATAACGATGGTATTCATTTTTAATATCATAATCCAAAACAAAATATTATTCCGAGAATCAGGTTATAAAAAATCAAATTTCTAACGAAGAGCTAGTTTATTAATCGCAAGTATTTAAAGTTAATATGGGTGCACGTGGAGGTAGAGTGGAGTGGCACTGTAGTGGTGACCTACAAAACGCGTGTCCACTACGCTCTTCTATATAACCAAAACTTAAACTAATAAACTAATTCGTTTGAAATTCGATTTTATACTATACACTCATTTTCGGGGAAAATAATATTTCGGTTATTAATATGAAATAAAAAATGTCATTTAAAGTAGGACCATAAGACTTAAATCTAAATCAATAAAAAATAGTAAGAATATAGAGGGTGATTAATCAAGTATGCTCACCCCTGTTTTATCTTCAACTATAGAGTTACTTAAAATATGATTTTTTAAATAAATTTAAAGACCATATTTTCTATTACTTAAGAAGTATCCTATGGAGATACAGACTTCTGCTTTTCAAATTCGAACACCCCTTTTCATCTATTAATTATTCAGTGGACCATTTTTCTGAAAAATTATACGTATCATCAGAATCCAAATTCATACGTATGGTTTTGAATTATTTAACTTTGTGCTTTAAGGATATAATGGTCCATGGTAATGGGTTTATAAGATAATGGGGGCTATGACGATTTGAAAATGTTTGTTATTTGTATTAATCTAACAATATAAAATTAAGTAGAACAAAAAATATTCAAAAACTTGAAAAATTGTCTGTGAGTTTATTCAAAATTCCAAAAATTATAATTTGAATAAATTCATTATTAAAGGAAAAAATAAAGGTGTGCATGCTTAGAAAATTAACCTGTTTATATTATTTTATATTCAAATTTGTTGTTTATTTATGACTTCCAACTATCTAAACGTAAAAAAACATTTCCAAAAATATTTTTACTTTTTGAGAAAAGTAGAGAAGAGAAGAGTTTTCAATCACCTATTGGCTCGTCATCAGTTATCATAAACCGTAAAAAAAACATCGATTTGTTATTCGATATTATTATTATTATTATTTTCGAATATTCGGATGATTGACTGAGAGGGTTTTTTGTACACTTTCGGGTCATGCAGTGAAATCCCGAGCGATTTTTCTACATTCTCGACCGATAAATATCTCATGGACTTTGAAATTTTTTCCGTCACGTCGGCCGTCGAATCCCTCTGGGAACCATTCGACGCAAATTACTTCTTTCATGCACGATAACCCAACGTTAACCGTTCTGAATGGATTGTGTATACTCGGGGGCTGGAACAACAGCCGGAACAATACGTTTGTTCTGAATATCGATCATGGTATTATTGAACTATATTATTATAATCTCGTTTTATAGTTATACGTCGTTTTATCCCGACATATTTCCAGAATCATTTCTTAAAGACGCACACATTTTACGTGCAATAAACTTCATTTTAAATGACTTTGCGTCACGTTATACGCGTATAGTTTCACGACCGATGTTAATAATATATTATACGCTTTTACAAGAAATAAAGTTAACAGCTATTATAATACGCATACCGACCGAATAATGCTATTATAATATAGTATAGTATAGTATACTAAAATGCTGTTAATGCTGAATTGTGGAACATTTTTCATTTTTTTTGGGCTCAATGAAATTAAATTTAAAAAGTATAAATAACACGTAGGTATTCGTAGAAATAGACAATAGTAGGTACCTGAAAAGTACGATAAAGAATATGTACAGAATGATTTTTTAAGCATGCTCACTGTTATTTCGCGTGCTCAAATTGTACATATTATATTTAAATTCTGACCATTGAAATTTTTAAACACACTTGAAGACCATATTTTCGAATAATTGAATTTTTTTGTACCATTATATTGTGACAATTCAGACTTTCTTTTTTCAAATACGAATCCCTCTTTTCACTTTTAACTATTCAGCAGATATTTGTTTTGAGAACTTTGATGTATCTATATCAAAATTCGAACCAGTAGTTTTTGAGTTAATTATATAACTTTGCGTACTAAAGATATATTCTTATCTTTGTGTATATATTCGCTTACATATAATTTATCATGGTAATGGGTTAAGTAGATATGTGGGCTTAGATGATTTGAAAATTATACTAATCAACTATCAGTATAAATAATTTGTAAAAACTGTCTAAGTATAACGAATACTACATCTAATATTATATAAAGTTATTATAGTTCTGTAAAACCATTTTTAAGGATCGTTATCCTTATATTGTAAATATTTTAAACAACTCAGAAACTACTTATTAGAATTTTATTTAGATACATAAAAAATGTTCAAGAAAATCACCAGCCAAATAATTTGCAGTGAATAAGGTGGTTCTCATTTGAAGAATAGAAGTTTGCATCACCACAGGCTACCGCTTGAGTAGGTAGTACTAAAATTATTAATAATTTGAAAATATGTGGGCGAAAATGATTAAAAATCACTGTGCATATAATATAATGTATATTATACAATTATAATTTAATATAATTTCAATCATATCCAATTATAATTATATCATTTTAATTTATATAGAGCGGAGGGCGCGCGTAAGAAAGTCTTAGATAATAAATAACCGTGACCGATGTGAGCATATTAATATAGTTTTATCGCATTTAATCACATCATATGTTTTTTGTAGAAATCACATCTTTTCATATAATATTATTTATAAATGTTGCAACTTACAGAGCTGATATCGGAAGCTATCACCTCACAACGATTATAATAATATAGATAGATGTACCATATTATCGTTATAACAGGTTCGGTTAACCATAGTCGGCAATTTCCTATAGTTTCAACCACAATGGACTCAACTGTTGTCACTCACCTTGTATATGTCTAAATGTCCGCAGTAAGCGTCGAACTTGTTGTACAAGGACTCCAACATGTTGACGACCATAAACGGCGTGGCGGTGCTGCAGATGGACGTGAAGCCGACGATGTCGCTGAACAGCATGGTCACCTCGTCGTGGGTTTTCGCTTCGATGGTCTCTCCTGGAAACCACGAAAACATGAAATATAATAAACACTTAAGAACATTACGTTTTTCTGTATATTTTTATTATACGATGCAGTGATCGACTTTATAAATGTATTTTAGAAAACTATACCGACCACCAATGATAGTACCTATTATTACAACGGGTCTATTCTATGATTTACTAGATTTTTGTCAATAGCGAGTTATACGCGGGACCAGTGGCGTGTACGGACAATTTCAATGGGGGGTGTGGATGTCATAAGTAATAATAATCAGGGTTGGTATTTTATAGTACATGAAATTTCAATAATATGCGCTACAATATCACCTCAAACATCGCTAAAAATGTGTTAAAAATACGCAATTAAAACAACAAAATATTTAAATATGTAACAACTAGAATTCCAAATCAAAATTAAGCACAAGTTAAGGTACGACGAAGAATAACCACAATGCGTTCAACCTGCAAAACACGACTAGCATTGTGGGTACGGGTACACCATTCGGCTGTATATTTTAATATAATATACTACCTACCTAACACTTTCCACACCCGGGGTTATCCAGGGGGGGGGGGTGGGACTTTCGTGGTTCAAATACGCCGCTGTGGCGTCATGACGATGCGTTACATTCGTACGTTATAATAATAATATGTTCGAAGTTCAAAATACCATCAAAGGAGTGTGTGCTGTGAATATAACGATTCCTTAAACATGCACCGCCGATCATTCGATTTCGACGTTTAGTCAGCTTCTATATACGTACCTATTATACGGGAACAATAACGATGTTCCGTTGTAACAACAGTACACGTACACAGGTATAATTGCGTCTAGCCGACTAGTATTAGAGTATGATGAAATATCATAATACAATGTATGTATATATTTATATTGAAGCGATGATACAATTTACACGTCGGGTAGGCCTACTCGGGCTCGCCCAGTCCCGAGAGACAGTCTCGGGACTATAACAATATCTAATATTATTTATTCGACGCCGTACACAACGCATATTATTGTTATTATTATTACTATTATTATAATCAACGGGATGAGCCACGGCCGTCGCGATTAAACTTCGATTAAACTAAAGCTTCGGACGACAACGGTCTCTTTGTACCCAAAAATATTTGCATTCGGAATCCTGCCGGTTAATATATATATAATTGTGTGTGTGGTCTAACGACAGTATATGTGTGGGAAGTGCGCTGGTGACGATAAGTGAGGGTTATACGAGACACCCGCCGGTATAGGTTAGGACAACAGACGTATTTTGATTTACGGGCGAGGCCGAGTTGTACGATGATGTTGTTTTGTTTATTTTTCACAAGAGCACTCTTTTGTAGGAAAAAAAAATTCAAAAAATTTCGAGTAAGCCAACTGTCGATCGGGCGATTTATTTAAACCTTACGAAGAGATAATTTTTCAATTCCCTGTTGGTTCCAGTGCGGTTTTCCAAAACGCGACTTAACTACACCGGAGTTAGAACAGCTGTCCAAAAGGTGCAATTGATTTGAACCGGTTTTACACTTACAAGTGCATAATATTATGTGACATCAACCAGCAGTTATTTTTGAACAATTTTTCTTCAGTCGTAATTTTTCGCTCGTTATCATTATTACAGAGACGTGATGATTATAATAATATCATTATGGACTATACGTGCTGGCATTTTAGATTAAAAACTTCAAAAGCGTATTTATTTGTCATTTCGACCATCGCAAATACTAAATTATATCAAACACTTACAGATAACTTGCAGGTTAATAAACATGTAAGCATTTTTATATGGTACGTATATATTATATTATCGATCTTAATAATTGAAACTTTCAGGATTTTCGAAATACGGTTTTCTAACATGTCATATACAATTTACAACAACTCAATTTCACTCGTTTCCGCTATGTAATTTCTTCTTTGAACTTATTTAGTTCACTAGTTCAGTTTAAATGAAAATACTATTTTTATTTCTTAATAGTACTTTGAAACTCGTAAGAAACTTAAACCGAATATCTTATCTATTCGTTACAATGTTAGAGAACTATATCGTAACCGTTTTTCCTTATTGGTCAGAAAATAAGCAATAATACAAGTAAAAATGATTTTCTACGATATTGCTTATTTTATGGGTTTCAAATTGTTTCATTAATAATACTAAATATTCATCAGTACCTATGTATAATATTGTGATTTGTGAACAAATAGATTTAACTTATAAATTATGTATTTATATAAATCCATCTATACATTTTATGATTTTATGGGTATAGTACAATAATGCTAATCGACATATGATATAAATAATGTGATAAGGTAGTACAGCAGGTAATAAGCTATATACATATTCTTACAAATTGCAATTAATTTTTCTGAAATTAGGGTTAACTTGATTCTAAATAGAGAGATTCACCCCTTGCCACACTTTATTAAATTGAAAAACATTGATAAAAAAAAACCAAATACCTACACACACACACAAATATCTAATTTTATTCTATAAAAAACCCGGCGAAGTCATTCGTAAATTTTAAGTGTAAGTAAATCGTTTTTAAGTAGATTGCACTGAAATATCCGTATTTCATTAACATGTGTTTGACTTAAAAATATTCACTTTATCGTATTGGAGAATTAGAAAAAAAGAAAATTAAAAACAGTAGAACATTTCAAATACGTCTACAAACCACATACAAAGTGCAAAATAACGTAATGTATAGCAAATCCTAATTTAATTGACTATTCATTATCAATCTTCTATAATATGATTATTATTTTTTGATTTATAGTAGAAAAATACATCGATTTTGTCAAAATATGTATTTGCGTAAATATTCTATGTTTCCTGTATTTTATTTTTTTTACTGTTATTTTCCAGCCTGTTTTGAAGAGTATTGGAAAACCGACCATGTTGAAGATTTAAAATAAATCAATTTTACACACAGAAACAAAAAAAAAAAAACATGTAAAACCAATAAACATCTCTTTCGTTCAACTGAGAATCTAAAATATGAGATATTGAACAATACGCAATACACCTATAACTTATTGGCGCATCAATCATATTAAGGTTTGGTGTTCCATCAATGTTTTCAATATCATAGTTTTTCACCGGTGCATTTTTATTTTGTTTTTTATTTTAAGGCGATCGGTGAAAATGTAATTTTGTACACAAAAATACGCTCTACGGGAATAATGATCCTGTTTTGTAGAATCGACCAAATTTGATGATTTTTGTTAATCGAACTCCGTTTATCAATATTTTAATAAATTAAGCCCAACTTTATAATACGTATTCAAAAATAATACAATTTTACCAAAGCGTTTTTTTATAAATATTATATTACACCATTATTTTAAATAAAATAAAAAAATCAAGTTTGATGCTGCTGTAGGAAATCTTCTTATTTCAGATAAAAACATAGTTAGCAATACCTAACAATTCTACAAAGCCTCAGAATTATTTATTTTAATTAAAATTGAATAACCTAACCTAATAACAATAATAATTTTAAGAGTTGATATGTATACCAACTGATCTAAGCTCGAATCTACTATATTATATTCTTGTGAAGTAAATTTTTTCGATATATTACACTCTATCAAATCTCCCCTAGACAGGTATCGGGTAGTAGATTAGTGGAAAAGTATTATGATTTAGGTCACCAATGAAATATAAAATTTAATTTTCAAAAGTGTATCATCTTCGCTTGACACTTATGCAATACCATACTTATTGACATTGTATTAATAATACATTGGTGAGTAATGTATGGGGTATTTTTTTTCATATTTTTTTTTTGCACTGATTACATTTCATTTCAAATTTCTGTTAATTAAACACAAGCAAATAAAAAAATAAAAAACAATATAGGTATTTTGATTATATGATATAGTTATCCGTAACATGTCAACGCATTGCAGTGATGAACTGATGCATATCAATAATATTTCTACAAAGGCGCAGTCAGTTTCGTATCTATTCCCAATATCAATTTTATTTTTGTCAATATTATGAAATTGAATCCATACGATTTTTCATTACTATCAAATATCAATCCAGTTTGTTCAACAATGGAGACTAGACGACGACGACAATGAAAAAAATAATATAAGGAATTCCCTGAACACAATAATATACTTTCAGCAAACACAATTATTATATTTTATTGATAACATGGAATTATTAATGTAATAACAGTACTATAACGTAATACGATCGTTATTACCACAGAAAATAATAGTATAATTAAAAATATATATAAAAGCTCTCAGGACAAATAAAATATAACTATGAGCAAACGATTCACCAAAAATAATACAAAACAAAAAAAAAAAAAAAAAAATACCGAGGGGATTTTGCAAACGGTCATTTATTATTTCAACCGATATATACAAATCGTATCCATTCGTCAATCATACCGATAGGCAAAGTAGTAATGAGATTAGAGCTTTGGAAAATGATTTGAATTTTGTTAGTATTATATTATGTCTAATCGACGTGCTGAATTATTTTCAAATTTCGTTTCCCGACTCACCTATTCATTTTGTTTGAAAATGTTTATACTTACGCGATTTTAAATGTCGATTATTTGATGAATAAATTAAAAATCTTAAAACGCTGCCAAGTCGTTAAGTAGACATAAAGTATTATGATCGAATGGAAATCCGTTTCCAGAAGTCTTGTTGCAATATCAGATACATCTGCGGAATCGAGTACGTAATAATATACAAATGAGCTTATGTGCACGTGGCAAATAATTATGAGGGAGAGAGAGAGAGAGAGCCATCCTCGATTTTTTTTTTTTTACATTATAGACACACCCATTAATGATCACTTAGAACTCACACATTTACACGGACCGCATACATGTACGACTTATACACAATTTCCAGTATCGAACTCCTTAGAAACTCAAAATCCACTTGGTAAAATCGTTGTTTAGGAAATATATTATATATAGGCACCTACCTACTATCCTCAGATTGTATTGAAATTCAAATAACCAATTCGA